GGGGGTAGATTTGTCACATTGGCCCCCGTGGGAACCACAGGAGGTGGTTTTTAATTGCTGGTTTTTTAATATACACTTTCTAAGCAGAGGGACCCACTGGTATGGCCGGGAGGCTCGAGGGGCTCAGCGTCCCCCCCCCTCACCCGGGGCAACCTCAGGGGCTCCTGGTGGAACCTGGTGACTGGTCTGGCAACTGGATTGGACTCGGGTAGAAAATAAAGGTGGTGTTTTAGCCCTTGGCACCAGTCAGGGAGGCTTTATTCGAGGGCAGGGGGGAACTGCAGCAGGAGAGCAGGGCTGGTACAAACCAAAGGCAGACAGGAGGGTGTGGGGAAGAACAGGATGAGGGCTGAGCATGGGGGGGGACCCATGCCCAGGACCTACCCCCCCACTCCATGCCCATCACAGCACCATTTGGCTGTGGAGGTCACCCCACAACAGTGGGGACTCCAGAAAAGTCTGAGAGGTCTGTGCAAAGGCCACTGTGGCATCGTCAAGCAGGAGCAACCCCAAAGGGGCAAGGACACAGCCAGCAGTGTCCCCTGTCACACAGTGCCAGCCCTGGGCACAATCCCCTGGGGGAGCTACTGGACAAAAAAATCCTTCCGTGATCCTGAGGCCTTTCAGGGGGGCTTTTGTCCCTGGTTTCCTGCAGTGGCTGGGGACAGTGTGGATGTGGCACCCAACAGCAGCAATGCAGAGCAGTGGGAGCAGCCCAGGTTGTCACTGGCCCCACTTGTAGAGCCAGATATCCCTGGCTGGGATGGATGTCCCTGGAAGAGATGGGTGTTGCAGGCTGGGATGGTTGTCTTGGGTTCAGATGGATATCCCAGGCTGGGATGAATGTCCTGTGTTAGGATGGATGTCCTCAGCTGGAATGGATGTCCCAGGCTAGGATGGATGTCCTCAGCTGGGAAGGATGTACCAGGGTGACTTCCAAGGGTTACTCCCTCCATATCTGGCATCTGCACTGTCACCTGCCTTTGGTGACCATGGTCACATCCTCGCTGCAGGGAGTGAAGCCCTTCAGTGTCAGTGGCACAGGGCTGGGTGTTGATGGAGCCACCTCCCCTGGGAGCCAGGTGCTGCCAGAGCTTGTCCTGAGGCTCAGCCCAAGCAGGGGGGGCTCAGCCGTGGCCAAATGCAGTGGCCAAATCTCCAGGCAGTGTCCCCTGAGAGTGGTGACAGCTGTGGGACCTCCTGCACTGGGTGAGACCCCCATTTTCCCATGGGGCTTCCTCTTTAGCAGCCCCGGGCAGAGTCACCACAACCCTCATGTTTCATAGCCCCCCAACCCCAAATCCTGTTTTCAAGCAAGCACAAGGCAAAGGCAATCCAGCCAAGCGCAGGGACCCCCTCTCTGCACC